CACACACAAACACACACACACACCACACACACACACACACCACACACACACACACACACACACACACATCTCTCCATGGGTCCTTAGAGAGGGAGCAGAAAATGTTGTGCGTACCACTTACCACAATCTTCAACACATCCCTGGAAATGGGCAACTACCTGAGGTATGGAAGACGGCAAATGTAGTTCCCATTTTCAAAAAAGGAGAACAGAAAAGAGGCACTAAACTATAGACCTGTGTCATTGACGTGTATAGTATGAAAAATTATGGAGAAGATTATCAGGAGGAAGTGGTGGAGCACCTGGAAGGGAACAGGAGTATAAATGCCAACCAGCACGGATTCCCACGGAAGGCAAATCCTGTGCCCACAAACCTTCTGGAGTTTTATGATAAAAAAAACAAAAAGTAAGACAAGAGAGAGAGGGTGGGTTGATTGCATCTTCTTGGACTGCAAGAAGGCCTTTGACAATTTCCCTCACAAGAGTTTAGTGCAGAAGCTAGAGCATCAGGGGCATATAACAGGAAGGGCACTGCAATGGATCAGAGAATACCTGACAGGGAGGCAAACAACGAGTCATGGTACGTAATGATGTATTTACAGTGGGCACCTGTGACGAGCGGGGGCCCACAGGGGTCGTCCTAGGACCAGTGCTATTTTTGGTATATGTGAACGACATGACGGAAGGGTTAGACTCAGAAGTGTCCCTGTTTGCAGATGATGTGAAGTTAATGAGGAGAATTAAAAACTGATGAGGACCAGGCAGGACTTCAAAGAGACCCGGACAGACTGGACACCTGGTCCACAAATGGCTTCTCGAATTTAATCCTGCCAATTGCAAAGTCATGAAGATAGGGGAAGGGCACAGAAGACCACAGACAGGGATAGGCTAGGTGGCCAAAGACTGCAAACCTCACTCAAGGAGAAAGATCTTGGGGTGAGTATAACACCGAGCATGTCTCCGGAAGCACACATCAATCAGATAACTGCTGCAGCATATGGGCGCATGGCAAACCTGAGAACAGCATTCCCCCACACCTTAGTAAGGAATCATTCAAGACACTGTACACGTGTATGTCAGGCCCATACTGGAGTATGCAGCACCTGTTTGGAACCCGCACTTGATAAAGCACGTCAAGAAACTAGAGAAAGTACAAGGTTTGCGACAAGGTTAGTTCCAGAGCTAAGGGGAATGTCCTATGAAGAAAGATTAAGGGAAATCGGCCTGACGACACTGGAGGACAGGGGGGTCAGGGGAGACATGATAACGACATATAAAATACTGCGTGGAATAGACAAGGTGGACAAGGACAGGATGTTCCAGGAGGGGACACAGAAACAAGAGGCCACAATTGGAAGTTGAAGACCCCAAATGAGTCAGAGAGATAGTAGGAAGTATTTCTTCAGTCATAGAGTTGTAAGGCAGTGGGAAAAGCCTAGAAAATGACGTAGTGGAGGCAGGAACCATACACAGTTTTAAGACGAGGTTTGATAAAGCTCATGAGGGGGGAGAGAGAGGGTCTAGTAGCAACCGGTGAAGAGGCGGGGCCAGGAGCTAGGACTCGACCCCTGCAACCACAAATAGGTGTTTCAAATAGGTGAGTACACACAAAACCTCACACACACCCCCAACACACCACACACACACACACACACCCCACACACACACACACACACACACACACACACACACACACACACACACACATGCACACATGCACACATGTGGTAATGCTTTATTTACAGCTAGCAAAGTCAGGGTATTCTCCAGAATGGTCTGCAATATACCACTGTGGATAAAATACTTAGACATTTCTTGAACACTTCGGAGTGAGTTGTTTCTAAATTCATTAATTTTATCACACTCCAGTACATAATGACGCAATGGTGACAATAGTCCATCTGGCAAAGTTTTCATTTCGTTTGGTCTACATCTGGTGGTGGTGATTTAACCTGGCCAAGATACTTGTAACCCAGCCGGAGCCGGGCAGTAGTGACATCCAAGAGTCTGCTTATCTTGTTGGATCACCATAGACCCTGTGGCTCCTCCTGCATGTGGAATGATGATAGATGGACTGACTTTGCAATCTCCCTAAGTCTTAAGTCAATAAAGTTTATTTGAAGTCTTTTCGTATTATTGTTCCAAACTGCTAATGACAACCCAAGATTGTAATCTACCCCCTCTTTGAAAGCATACAGCTTAGCCAATTTTTCAGTTCTATCATGTATCTGAAGACCAATGTGAGATGGAATCCACAGCATGTGCACTCTGACTCCACTGTCCACAAATTTTACCGTATCTATGTCTGGCTTCTGACAAAGCATGCCACAATTTATACTTAATGAGTTGAGAGCATTTATGGAGACAGAGAATCAGTTACAATTAAAGTGTCAACCTTAGATACATGGACACATTTGAGTGCAAGGAGTATGGCAAACAGTTCTGTTTGAAGGGGAGAGGCCAGTTTTTTGATGCGTGCTCCAATTTCTTTATGAGAGCCATCACTCTGTGTGACAACAGCAGCACTACCAGCTGCACCAGTGGACTGGTGAACAGAACCATCGACGTAAATAATTTGTGAAAGATTGTTCTGTGTGACTAAGTTATCAATACAGCTTAAGGCATAATGTTTTGGGTTCAAGAAAGAAGCTTTGGTTGTGATTTAAGAAGAGTTTGGGGGAAATGGAGGAATGGTAGTTTGGAATGGGGTAATATCCCCTGGAGCAGGGAAATGTCTCTGTTTTCCAAACTTGATATAGATCATGTAGCTGGTTCATGCGGAGGTCGGTTCAGTTTTTTCGATCCATCTGGGAAAGGGTGTTCACCAGTGCTGAGGGAAAATTTGGAGGGCTTCTGTGCAGGGATTTGAATGCGCTAGCCTAAGCATATTGACGAAGAGGAAAGGGATGAGCAACATTGCCAGTCTTTTTCCTGGTTATTTTATTTATACCTTTCCAAGCCAAACTCAAAGGGGTGGACCTATTTAATCCACTAACAAACTGTTCCCATTCCTGTTGCCTAAGTTCTTCCTTTCTATTCCTTGCATTTGTTAGTGCAGCTTGGAACGTTCTGAGCAGGTCTGGGGTTCTACATTCATGGTATGCTTTACCAATCCTCCTAGCTGCATGTGTTAGATTGCGCAGCTGTGGATCATTATAGTATTGTTATACAAGATATCTCCCTAATTGGGGGCGATAATTTTCCTAGTATACATAGAAGGGCTCTGGTGTTACCCAATCATCTTCATCTGCAGGGAGGTTGCTCAAGATCATCGGTCGATGGTAATCGTCTTTATGGATGAAGCGACAGTGGCATGATTATGGAAGTTTGAAAGATTGAGTTGAGCTGGTTAATCAGGATCTACTCCATTCTGGGTAGTGCTGGAACCTGATTGGTCGTTTGGGTCAGCCTCTACGGCGGCGGATTGTTCATCAGAGTCTGGTGTTAGTTTAATATGTTTATTATGCACCCCATACCCATCCTGTGGGCGGTAGTCAAAAGATTACAGAGGTACATAATTGGTCCAGGTACTGGACTCCAAAGTTTTGATAGCTGAGCAAGTTACAGAGGTAATGAACTCACAATTTACAAAGGTAATGAACTCCAGGTAGGTCAAGTCACAATTATGACAAGTTACAAAGGTATTTACAGATTACAGAGGTACGTAATGGGTCCAGGGACTGGGCCCCAAAGTTTTGACAGCTGAACTAGGTACAAAAGTAATGAATCCTGTAAGAATGGTTAAGAGTCTGGTGCAAGTGCAGGGACCATCAATACTCTGCTGGACTGTGTTATTGTTTCACCGAGCAGAGCTGGAGATCATTACTTGCAACTTGTTCAGCAAACATAAACATCAAGGTTATTTATTTATTTATTTATTTATTTATTTCCAATTTGTGCACACATACAGAGGTACAAAAAAATACAGATAAGAGCAGTATGCCAAAGCCACTTATACTATGCATAGCATTACGGGCTGGCTTAAAATTAACTTAAGATTAACTAAGCAATGATTATTATTATTATTATAATCAAAAAGAAGCGCTAAGCCACAAGGACTATACAGCGCTGGTCTTCTCGAAAGGACCGGGAGGTGCATGAGGGAGGGGGTGGGTGGTCCTTGGACTTAGTGTATGCTAGGTGGCCCGGTGGCCCGGTGGCCCGGTGGCCCGGTGGCCCGGTGGCCTGGTGGCTGAAGCTCCCGCTTCACCACGGAGGGCTCGGGTTCGATTCCTGGCGTGTGGAAACATTTCGATACGTTTCCTTACACCTGTTGCCCTGTTCACCTAGCAGCAAATAGGTACCTGGGTGTTAGTCGACTGGTGTGGGTCGCATCCTGGGACACAAGATTGAGGACCCCAATGGAAATGACAGTCCACGATGACGCACATTACCTCTGTAACTTGCTCAGCTATCAAAACTTTGAGGCCCAGTCCCTGGACCCATTATGTACCTCTGTAATCTTTTGACTACCGCCCACAGGATGGGTATGGGGTGCATAATAAACATATTAAACTAACTAAACGATGACGCACTGACTTTCTTGGGTTATCCTAGGTGGCTAACCCTCCGGGGTTAAAAATCCGAACGAAATCTTATCTGATCTTATCTCACGTCCCTAATGTTTTCCAGCCTTACCAGAGGAAATTCGAACCCCGGACCTCAGTAGCTCGATCGCTAGCGCACTCAGCTCACACCGGGGGTCGATCCCCGGTATGTGTAGAAAGAATAGGGCGTGTTTCCTTAAAATATCTGCTGTCCATGTTCACCTATTAGTAAAATAGGTACTGGATGTTAGTTGGCTGGTGTGGGTAGAATCCTGGGGACAAAATTAACCTAATTTGCCCGAAGTGCTCTACACAACAAGGGGCTTTTAATATAGTATGTCACTGATGTCAGCTAGGTCCGTATACCTTGTACATGTACTTGTAGAAATGAAGATTATTATTATTATTAAAGTTTCAAATATGGCGCCTTGCATGCAGACTGCAGCAATAATAAACACAGTGTATTGTTGCGCCAACTATGGCTACCCAGCTGTTGGTGCTCAGACCATGTTTCTCTCCTCTCTTTTGCTCTTCCACACGTCTCACTGATTCCAGCACTCTCCTCCACCCCTCCAACACTCGTCTCGCTTCCTTTTCATCACCTGGACTGTACAATAATCATAAAAGAAATTCGGCGAGTGCAGTTGCGGCTGGCCGTAGTGTACATAGTAAGGTAAGGTGTTAGTGACTAGCATTATTTAAGCCTAGTTGATGTCACTCTGGAGTTAAGCTTAGGGTTGATATGGAGATCCGTCCTTTTTAATACATAACGAAGGAGCACTGCAGCAGACCTACTGGCTCATGGTAGGCAACTCTGGCTCACACCCACATATACCCACTCACGTTGACCCCGGAAACCCACTCCAGGTAAACTCCAGGTAGACTCCAGTAGACTCCAGTAGACTCCAGGTAAACGTTCCCATCCAGCCTAGATTTAAAGTTCCCAATTTAAGTTAACTGGGAGTTAGTTCTACTCTTCCACAAGTTTCGCCAAACCAGTACTTCCCAGGACCCCAATGGAAATAAGTCACTCTGTCTGACGTTTTTGGGTTATCCTAGGTTCTCTACACACATGCTGCTATGTATGATAATTCTATGTAACTGTATTTGTGTATACCTGAATAAACTTACTTACTTACTTACTTACTTACTTAATCCTTTCTTAATCTAAATTTCTCCATTTTTATTCCATTGCAGCAAGTCCTGTCACTGTTAAATGTTTTCCAAACTCTATTTATATATTTTGTTTATTCCTTTTTACCATTTGTACCCTTCATCATATCTTCCTTAATTGTTCGTCTTTCCAAACAGTGCCAGTTCAGTGCCTTAGTCAATTTTCCTGGAAAGATTTATTATAGAAGGAATTAGCTTTGCCATCCTTCTCTGTATATTTTCAAATGCATTTATATCTGTCTTAAATAAGTGAGTTTATTTAGTCACAGGTACAGTTATAGTGTAAATTATCTAGGATAACTCGAAAAAAAGTCAAAGTATATTAATATTGATAGAATTACTGACAATATGTTAAGTAAAAAGGCAGATGCAACTAATGTGGAAAAGTTGATCCCATGTATCAGAAACCTTCCCTATGAGGATAGACTGAAGGCCCTGAAACTGCACTCTCTAGAAAGACGTAGAATTAGGGGGGATATGATTGAGGTGTATAAATGGAAGACAGGAATAAATAAAGGGGATGTAAATAGTGTGCTGAAAATATCTAGCCTAGACAGGACTCGCAGCAATGGTTTTAAGTTGGAAAAATTCAGATTCAGGAAGGATATAGGAAAGTACTGGTTTGGTAATAGAGTTGTGGATGAGTGGAACAAACTCCCAAGTACCGTTATAGAGGCCAGAACGTTGTGTAGCTTTAAAAATAGGTTGGATAAATACATGAGTAGATGTGGGTGGGTGTGAGTTAGACCTGATAGCTTGTGCTACCAGGTCGGTTGCCGTGTTCCTCCCTTAAGTCAATGTGACCTGACCTGACTAGGTTGGGTGCATTGGCTTAAGCCGGTAGGAGACTTGGACCTGCCTCGCATGGGCCAGTAGGCCTTCTGCAGTGTTCCTTCGTTCTTATGTTCTTATGTTCTTATGAACACTTAAGCAGTATAATGTGATCCTTTACTGACAACGTTTCACCCACACAGTGGGCTTTATCAAGTCACAAACAGATCTACCTGGGCGAAACATACATGAGTATTTATAGGATGAGAATGCTGGGTCAGGTGGAGAAAGCTGCATGTGACAATATTTCGAGTAAGATGATAGTCTTAAAACTTGGGTAGCTTTTAAAAGAGATTGGATAAGTGTATGAGTAGACCTTCTGCAGTGCTTCTGGATTCTTATGCTCTTGTGTGGGATAGCAATGATAGAAGCCGTTGTTCTGGTTAAAGTTGTTGGATGTACAGATAAGGGATGATTCCAGGATTCTTTGGTATTGAGTGTTGTCTTCTCTGGCAATAAGTCTTGGGTTTCTGTAGTTGATTAAATGGTTGTGTGAATTTTGGTGTTGAACACAGGCATTCCTTGGATCATCAATTCAGCCTGCATACTGGTGTTCTGAAATACATGTTTGGAGGTCTCTGGATGATTCGCCAAAGTATAATTTGCTACTGTCATTACAAGGGATTGTGTATGTCCCTGCAGAGGATTGAAGCTTGTCCTGTCTATTACTAGTAATGTCCTTGATGGTGGTGGATGTGGAAATAGATACTTGGAATGAGGTTTTGGAAAAGATGTTGGAAACGTGTATGGCAATAGAGTTGGTGGGGAGGACTATGTATCTCTTCTCAGCAGTGTCTTCTCTGGGTGTGTTAAGGATGTTTAATGCCCGTCGTCTGCAGTCTCTAATTAAGTGATGAGGATAGTGAAGTTTAGAAAATACTTGTTCAATAAGAGATTATTCCTCAAGGAAATCACTGCTGCTGATTCTATGTGCATACAGGAAAAAGCCTATAATTACACCACGTTTAATTTTGGTGTCATGTTAAGAGTAGAAGTGCAGAAGATCGTGTAGGTTGGTAGGTTTTCGAAAGACTTTAAAATGAAGTTCATGGTCAGCTTTGCAGAGAACATCGAGGAAAGGAAGAGTGTTGTTGACTTCTTTTAGTGTGAACAGGATAAAGGGCTCGACCTGGTTGAGCTTGTGTTGGAGAGCCTGAACGTTGAAGTGTATGGGAGCTATGATGAGAATGTCGTCAACATAACGGAGCCAGGTGATAGAAGAGGAAATAATAGTGGAGAAACGTTTGGCTTTCAGATGTTCCGTGTATAGGTTCGCCAGGACAGAACTAAGTGGCGAACCCATGGGTAGTCCTGACTACCCAAACACGTATTTCAGAACACCAGTATGCAGGCAGAACTGACGATCCAAGGAATGCCTGTGTTCAACACTGAAATTCACACAACCATTTAATAAACTACAGAAATGCAAGACTTATCACCAGAGAAGACAACACTCAATACCAAAGAATCCTGGAATAATCACTTATCTATACATCCAACAATTTTAACCATGGTATATCTGGTAAAACAGGTGGGACATGTGCCTTTGACCATCCAAAAAAATAACGCACCCACCTGACAACAGGAGAGTGCAACTTCCCGTCCTGTAACTTATTTCACCCAGAAGTGTGTCGCTCATCAATCCATGAAAGAAAATGCTACAACACATACTGCCAGGCACATCATCTAAAGGGGACTAGAAGACACAGACCAGCCAGACTATGGGAAACAAAAGAGGGGAGCCACAACCTCTCCAGGGACAGAGGTTTTTTAGGGCCAGGAGGGAAAAAAGACCGGCAAGAAATGACAATAATCCTACACCAACTGAAAACACTTCTGGAGCAGAGGCACGGATGTTGGTCTGTACTCCAGAACAGCAGATATTAGAGCCAGCAAATAAAACCCCCTAAATTCCACCAATACAACGACATTTATCTTTGCAAACTTACAGGGTCTAAAGCTGTCAAAAAACAACAAAATTCCTTACATCAAGGGACTGCTCACGGAGTCAAATGCAATATTTGCAGCATTCACAGAGACCCACATAAAGGATCATGACAACGAAATATGGATCCCAGGTTATAACCTATTCCGATGTGACAGACAACCCTCTCCAAAATTTTGGGCTCAAGGAAACCGACTGGAAATAGAGAGATAGACTTAACTAAACCAGATGAACCTCACATGCAACCTATAGACATGGCCAACAAATTTAATGTCGTCTTCTCTACTGTAGGATCAAAGCTAGCAAGTCAAATTCCTAGCTCAAATACCCATCTGAGTGAGTACCTCACTGGCAACTATCCAAATACTCTATTTCTAGCTCCAACTAATCCCACTGAAGTCTCACTCATCATTAAATCATTAAAAAATAAATCAGGTGATCTAGATAACTTGCCGCCATTCATTTATAAAAAAGCTGCACCAGAACTGTCGCCTATTATTGCAGCAATGTTTAACAAATCTATAGCATCCTCAACCTTCCCATCCATACTCAGGGCAGCAAGGGTCACCCCGATCCACAAAGGTGGAGATCCAACTGATTTGAACAATTACAGACCCATATCAAACTTGCCCTTACTCTCCAAGATATTTGAAAAATAATACACAAGCGACTTTACTCCTACCTTACATCCAACAACATACTTAACCCATGCCAGTTTGGATTTAGACCAAAAAAAAGCAAGAATGATGCTATTATACAAATGCTTGACCTAGTATACACGGCTCTCGATAAAAATGAATATCCCCTGGGGCTCTTTATTGACCTAAGAAAAGCACTTGACACAGTTGACCACAATCTCTTGCACCTCAGACTGAATCATTACGCATAAGAGGACATTCTCCTGACTACCTAAAATCCTATCTTTACGACAGACACCAGTATGTACATGCAAATGGAGTCAACTCTGCTATCCAACCTGTAGCTGTAGGAGTACCCCAAGGTAGTGTCCTAGGCCCACTCTCTTTCTCATCTACATCAATTATCTCCCCAATGCATCCCAACTCCTTACACCAGTTCTATTTGCAGATGACACTACATATGTCTACTCCCATTCAGACCCAGCTGTGCTTGAAAACACTGTAAACAATGAACTGCTAAAGATATATGCTTGGATGATGACCAACAAACTCACTCTCAACATAGACAAAACATACTTCATGCTGTTTGGCAACAGAGCCTCAAATATTCAGCTCAACATACTGTTAAATGGTTCCCCTATATCAAGACACATGGAGGGCAAATTTCTAGGTCTTCTCCTTGACTGTAATCTTAAGTTTCAGTCCCATACCCATCACATAGCCAAGAAAATTTCCAAATCGGTAGGAATCCTTTCCAAGATACGCTACTATGTACCACAAACGACTCTCCTTACCCTGTACCATGCTCTAATATATCCTTACCTCACCAATGGTATCTGTCCCTGGGGCTTAACCACTGCCAACCACCTTAGACCCTTAATAATCCAACAAAAAGCTGCTGTGCGAGTGATAACCAGCTCCTGTGCTAAACAGCACACCCCACCACTTTTCAAAAGACTCAACTTGCTAAATATACAAGACATACACTCTATTATTGTGCCTGACAACATATACAGAACTTTAAACTCCACTGTAAACCCTCCCCTAAAACTACTCCTCGACAGTTACGACAAAATGCACAGTCAC